ATAAATTGAATATAATGTTTCTCTAGGTTATGACGTCATATTTGTTTTGGCGMRGTGCATYACGGTATTGATTAATGAATCAATATGGCGCCGGGATATCTTATTCAAAACTCTAGAGGACGAGTTTTCTGTGCGAAATTGAGGTTAACTTTTATCGAGGATACTTTAGAAAAACCTTCAATGAGATGACTACACACGCGCAAAAGACAAGTCGGAACAGTAGATAGTTCTTGTTGTTTGCAAAACAACTCGGTACACAGCAACATGGCTTCAGTTTGTACTTTCGTCAATCCCATAATGCATCTCGYCGAACATCAAATGACGTCATAAGGAAAAAAAGATCACTCTCACAAGCAATTGGTACCTGATGAAGCAAATGTATTGGTGACCTCAATTGACTTGTACCCATGCCCCGTTGTCCCATTGTAAAGAGTAGAAATGGTGATGATTATGGTTTTCGTCAAGCGTTCACCAAAGATAAATGTGTCGGCTTTTGACTGTGAGGCCGTATTCTTTGTTAAGTTGAACTGAAATAAAAATTACGATTTAATTTRCCATCATAAACCGATCAGTGGCGCAGATTTCTTATGATTGTACGGATGGAACCTTTTTTTGGATTTGACCTCGACTATTAGATGATTTTTTCCTTGTTCTTGGCGACTTATATTCATTAATTTTTCCTTAAATTATTTATTGGAAGACAAATTATGATAAAATGGGAAAATTTTGTTTCTTACATATTCGTGCACTCCTTTGCCATCATCAAAAGAGATTTTAACCTCCTGGATTTGATATGAAGCGTCTTGTCGTTGTGTGATCTTGACTGCATTGATGAGATATCCATTGCTAAATGTTATACTGATGGACGAGTTGACCGAGTTGTCGTTCGAGTTAACTCTGTACTCTGTATTTACATCATCGTCAATAGCGTTGGTACATTTATGGCTTGGGTCAGCGGATGTCTCCGTGCATGACGCGCCTTGACTTGAGCTGGCTACGTTGATGAACGGCCTTCTTAAGTTATCTGTTTGTAAAGATAACAAAATAGTCAAAAATTAATGTAAGTCGAAGAAAATGAAGATAGAGCAAACGCAGGAAAACCATGAAATAAAACCAAACTAAATACTAACAAATAGCCTAACAAATAGTCAATGTTTGCCACAACTATCTTACAGTATACATCAGTTGTTATTTATTATTAATTAGAAAAACCCATGGCGACTTTCGGTCGTGTAATTGCCGTTCGACAATTAACAAGTCTGCCATGTTTTATCCCACATATTTTTGGAAATACGTATATATAGAGGATATTACATGAGCCCGCGGATATACAGATTTTATCTTCGAGTGAGAGAATGTTAACACGAGAAGATAAAATCCGTATCTACATTCGAACATGTAATATTCGGTTTATCATATAATCATGTATGATAGCAAATTATGTCGTAAAAGAATAACTTTTATTTACTTCCAATATATAGAAACCACGACCGTGTTGATTTTTACTAGTGAAAATGACAACATTTTGAAATAAAGAAATATAAGTATTTCATAGATAATTATTTCATAGATTTATGTAATCGAAATCCATTTAGTTATACAGCTATTTCAAAAAATGAAAACGGCGATTGTCGAAGGGAGATTGCACGACCGAAGAAACTATGGTTACACTGTTTTGATAAACAAAGTATCACCCATTGGATTCACATTACATTGAAATGGAGACTAAATAGAGCCAATGTTTACCACAGTCCATCTTACAGTACAAATCAGTTGTTATTGGCTTTCAACTAGCAAAACCCAAGACTACTTTCGGTCGTGCAATCGCCGTTCGACCATTGACATTCGCCATTTTATCGGACAACCTTTTTTGAAATAGCTATATTTCCACTGGTGGTGAATAAGCAAAAAAAAATCCAGGCAATTAAAGTTAAAGATTTCCAATCAAAATAAACCATAGGAGCTGGTTTGGAGACCACAGAAAAGTCTAATCAAGCTCTCACATGGAGGTTTACAAAATATGGCGACCTACGATTAGGAACTGATTATAGTATAATGAACACAGCTTCCCCGACTGTGTATAAAAATGTAAAAATAGAAAGTTATCATGTATAATTTCCTCAGAATGCCGATACGCAATTCTTTCAAAAGTCTATATCTGTACAGAAAGTGCCGTGTATATACCTCCAGGGGCGGATACAGAAATTTTTCAGAGGGGGGAATTTACTGATCCAAATATATTTCAAAAACACTGACAATATTTTCTCTGAGCGTGAAATTTTTACATTACAATAAGAAATCTAGAGTACTGGACTTTAAGTGAGAAAAAAAGGGGGGAATTCCCCCTTTTCCCTCCCCTGAATCCGCCCCTGACCTCAATTTGTTATGAGCTCTTAAAATACAAAGCTGTTTGTTTTGCAAAGCTGTATGCAAAACTATATCACAAAAGAAAAAGTTGTGTAAAAAGATAAATTTAACACCGTAGAAAAGTACGTAGGTGGAACAAATAACTGACGTTTTGGACGTTAATTTACGGTTTTAAATTTATCTTTTTACACAACTGTTTCTTTAGAACCACCGACGCAGCTCACACTAGTTAACCGCTAGTTTCCACCATTTTCATATCACAAATGCATTGTTTCTATTTTACATCTTTTAGAAAATTTAGACCACATTTCGACCTTCACTGTTGGAAATTTTTAATAACTTCGTTTTACCTGGGATGACGTAAGGAGGATTGCCCAGAGACGTCACTGAAGAACTCTGAAACACAAAGGAAATACAATTTCTTTTGAAAATTGCAAACATTCAGTATTTAATTTCGATTTTTCGGTCTTTATCGTCTTGTGTTTCATATATATTTTCTATTGCTATTTYCATTTATTTTTTATTTATTTAACAAATTTACGCGGATAGTTTCGCGTAGTATGTCCTCTTATTTACCACAGTTGGGTCATCGAATCGTCTAGATTGCTGTAGATCCACGAGACGAAGTCGTGTTTTTTGTAATAATTGTTTTACCAGTACTGCGCGCGTTTTCCAAGCTAAAAKAACAACTGAAATCTCATTTCAAACTGAACCAAAACATATATTTCAACAAGTCATGGAAAGTCAGGAAAGTCAATTGTTTTTCTTTAAAGTATCAAAGTTAATCGCGAGCAAAGTAGAGACGGTGGTATGTACTTTTATTTAACACGGCTCTCGACCAATCAGAAAGCGGGAAAATTATCATATGTGGTAAAAAAATTTATATTTATTTCGTTATTTATGCTGGATTATGAATTTGTCTTGCAGCCGKTCTTTAGTCCTCCAATCAAACAGGAAAGGAAAAAGATAAGAACGATAAAATTTGCAAAGCAAATCCTGATTGCCCCAAAAAGCGATACACTTCGAGTCCTGTTTTCCGTTTTTTGTGTGTTCCAATGCAGCGCGCTCGTATATAGGCGTGGATTGCAACGCAGATTTCATCGCGTAAACCATTTAGTAACGATCAATTGCAGGCTATATTTGTTTTCTTGACTGTTTTTTCGGAAGTATTTTCAAATAAAAGTTTCCATACAACCTTTCAGTGGACTCGAATGTTGGCATTACTAATTACTAAAACGTTTCGAGAAACTGGGTGCGTTTGCAACAACCCTGTTTGAAATCAAAACATCTTTTCTTTCTCTTTGTGGTTTCTAGATTTTTCGTCGTCGTTAGCCCCGCACAGCAGCGAGGTTATCATTAACGTTAAGTGAAAAAGAAAAGAAAAAAAAAATTCGTAAGACTTTATATAAAATCTGCGTAAAGTTCGCGTTCGCGCTAGAGTCTTTTCTGGTACTGTGTACTGGTAATACACTACCGCGTAGTTTGTCGCTTTAATGGGCGAGAAAACATATAAAAACATCTTAAACTATTTCAACATCATTTGAGTTAATTGGTCAAAACAAACTATTTTCTGTCTGATTCAGGGCCAAGTTTCTTTTTTTCAATCATCATTTAAAAACAAAAACAAATGAAAACATGGATTTTGTACTACTTTCCGCATAGGTCGTAAAGATTTTATTTTTTATCCCAACGCCAAAATTTTTTCAAATTTTTACTCGCCCTTGGAGTCTTAGCACAATTTGTTAAAAATAGGTGTCCCATTGGTAAATTARTATCAATATCCTRTTCTTCAATTTCATCGATGGAAACACATAATTTTAAGTTCTGCAGAGTGCAAAATCAKAATCAATGTTTCAGTTTGATCAGTTTGCTCTAAGTCATTTCATAGCACTTGCATATAAATATTTAAAAATGCTGRAATCAAGTAATAAGTTTGTAGAGTTTAACACTTGTTTGCGAGACCAAAATTAAAAAAAAAAATTCTGACAAGATATAGAGACGTTTTCTCAAATGTTCATTATAAATTAGGCCACAGCTTGGAWTTTAAGTTAAATAACTATACTATCTCGTATACTTCAAGAGTATTGCATTCAAATATTAATTTACCTTTAACAGGAATATAACTACCAAACTTGTAATGATTCTCATCGTGTATCTTGAATAGTAATAACATCCAGCAACTTAATCAACCRTATGAACTCTGAAGATTTCCATATCCTTACACTTTTAAAAACTTCTTTCAGTTGAAAACGTAGTCCATCGAAATGTCGGAAAAACTATGTCGAGTTTTATCCGTGCTTTTGTCAAATAGACTGGAGAGATTCAAGGTTTGATTGGCTGTTGTGCGGACAGGTGCTTTGGATGTTGTGAAGGAATGACGTGCCAACATCGTTATTCCCAATATGACAAAGTTAAGTGAAACTTCATGCATTAAAAACTAAAGTAAACAAACTGTTAGTTTTCATAATATTTGTTTTTAATCAAAAACATGGTAAAGTAGTGTTATTTGTCATTGGTAACAATGATTGATGAGCTTGATTTATGCTGTCTTCTTGTATGCAAAATTCACGTGGATTTAATTTTAAAAGATATCCTGCAGAGGTGATTCTCGATAAAATGGGCGGTATCTACTAGTGTTTTTCAACGTATAATTAACTACTGGTAAAAATATAATTAAAATCTGAACATGGACTTTGACTCGTGTTCACTGATTCACGCGCCATCTTGGAGTAACTTCGCAAACGGCTGGCCAAGTAGTAGGCAGTGCACTGGAGTCATCGGTGTAAAACTGTTTTCATTCCGAATTTTTATGATAAACCTGGAGATTTAGGTTGCGTTCTCATGTAATCAGAGGGAAACTCTATGATATTAAGTTTACCTACTCTTATGTAAGATAACACAAAAATTATCATTGTTTTTTGTTTTGTTTCGTTTTGTTTTTCAAAAATATGCGGAAGCGGTCATCGTTTTCGTTGGTTTTGTGTAAACGGATAGGCTTAAACACTCTTAAACACATGAAAAGGTTTGCTTTTTCAAAAGTATCCAGATATTCAATATCAAGTTGTAGAAACAGCCTTGAAAAACAATACACAACACTCTMCGAAAGAGTAACAGTYTGCATAAGGTCTTAATTCGGAWCAGTTGAAATGAGAATAAGTATCKATAAAATGCATGTYAAAAAAATTGWAGAAAAAATGTYAATAAATGTGGTTTCAGCCACTGRATACATTGCAAATTTAAGGGAATACTCATTTTATTACAACACATACAAAGCACTATATATGTCCTCTTCACTTAAAATTTACAAATATGCGTTCAACCGTAGTATAGGCACATGCGCTCATTGAGTGCCTTAATTATATTTTTCGCGTGGAGACTGGGTASGTGTTACAAAATTTAAATTACCCAGTMAGCCACGTGGTCAGTCAAATGATCACCCAAGGCCACGTAGACAATACTTGTATCTTCTTTCAAACAAAAGATCAAATATTATGGACGACTGCTCAGTTTAACGATCCATAACTTTTGTYAYCTTCGTCGTCATCAAAATATGGACGGRGAAGAGTTTCACGACTTTAGCTGGGCTGCACCTTCTAGATTTAGTCGAACTCTTCTCTCGCCGAAGCTGTTTAAGTTGTTCTTTCATGCTAGCTACACGGCTTTGGTTCCATTTTTGCCTATGTACTTTCGCTTCTTGGGTCTAACTGCGTTTCAAAGTGGYATTCTTGGCTCTTTAAGGTCTRTAGTTGGCTGCTGGAGCTCTATTTTGTGGTGTATTTTGTCCGAGAAAATAGCGAAACGGAAATGTTTTCTTGTGCTGYTGTTGTTGACTGGTATCGTTTTGAATGCCTCGTTGAGCTTGGTCCACAATCCTGAAGCCAACTTTATGGATTATTCTTGCTCCACTCCAAAAGTGTACAAAAATAAMTCTGACGTCTATTCMAAATATAATTCGACAAGGTCAACGAGTTACAAGAACAGCAAAGAACTTGTAAACACTTTAAAGAGGTCCGAGGCTGATTTCGTGAATTTGACTGATAGAGACGATGTTAACCTCGCATTTAGACGGMCCAAGATTGMTAAACAACAACAACAAGAACAGTATATATTTGGCTTTCGCCTTAATTCACTGTTTAGAAACTTAATCCTTGTGACGGCTTGTGCAGAGATATTTATGTCTCCAGTCAAAGCAATAATCGACAGTGTTTTCGCAGACTTTCTTCATTTCAGTAGGGGAGGAGTGGGGCAAAACAAGATATGGGACTTTTTGGGTGATATGTTTGGAGCAGGTCTTGTGATACTTATTATTGGTCAATATCAATGCGCATTTTCCCTTATAAACAGTTTTTATTTACATTTTTACGTTTTTTCTTTTGGTGGTGCTATTGCATTTATTTTTGCTTCTCTTCTACACGTATATGAACCCAAGACATCGATGAACTACAGATTTGGWCGAACKTGCAACTTTATTTGTTGCAATATGCAAGCTTTGTCAATTATATTCGTCATGTTTGCATTAGGAATGGCAGAATCTTTGATGAGTAACTTTATGATGTGGTATCTCCAGGATATAAATGCGTCAATAACAGTAATGGGACTGATGATAGCCATTGGTGCCTTCTCYGAACTAATCATGCTTTTCTTTTCTAAATACATCATCAAATGTCTCAGTTATCCGATACTTTATGCTCTAGCTCTGGTAGCTTATGGAGGACATTTTCTTGCATTTTCTTACATCACAAATCAGTGGTATGTCCTTCCTGTTCAGCTTTTGCAAGGACTTTCCATGACTAGTATCTGGATAGCCACATCTGCTTACTGTGCTGAAGTGGCACCCATAGGAATGGAGCGAACACTGAATGGAGTGATGTCTATTGCATACTGGGGATTCGGCCATGGTATTGGCGGCATAGGGACGGCCTTGRTATATTACCAGTATGGTCCAATAGTGGTATTTCGCTGTGCAGCGGGAGTTTGTGTCATTTATAYGCTGCTGTTCATACTCCTGCAGTGCTTGATAAAAATGCCAGATAGTGGTTCAAAAGGCAGAAATATGAAAGAATATCAGCAGATTATATATGACGAGAGAAACTGTCGTATTCGTCACCAAGGTGATTGGCTTCTTGAAGCATTAGAAGCAGATGACGAGGACGAGCACTTTACAAGATAGTAAAGGATTTGCTTTAAATGTTGATTTTAAAGAAGGTCATAGTCCACTAGACTTCTATGCGGCCTTGATCTAGATTTTTTTGTATATGAGAAATGAGGTGATTTTAAATATCCATTCAAAATCCCTTTTCATCCATCGGTATTAAGGTTGTATCTTTCAGCATCTCAATTCATGTAGCATAAAGGGATAATAAAGAGTAAGTTTTTGCTTACATTACAATGTATTTAAAAAAAATGTAAATGTAAAAGCTTGTAAAGGATGCTGGTGGACTATGTCCTTTTTAGGAAATATGGACAAATGGAAATTTTAATTCCTAAAAATGACATGGAATCTGTAACATTGAATTCCAGTAATACGAGAAATTAGCAGATTGTATTGTCCTGACCTTAAAAAGGATATCTTAAAATTGAATAAATTACATGTCAGGTCATCTTAAGGATCTTAGACATTATGCAAACAAAGTTAAAATTGAATAAAGATAACAAGGTTTGCTTCTTTAAGATATTTTTGGCAAACTAAGAGGAATTATTTCCAAGAACGGCAAAAAAACTTGGGAGACAAGATTTCTAACTTTCATATAACATTAAAGTAGCAGATGTTTTGATATGAATAATTTAAGCAAAGATATTTATATTTAGGAAAAATTGATATAGGAATAGATAAGTAATTTTATATCAAGTGGTTTATTATTACAACTTTAATACCATAATCTATTAGCTCATRATTTCTAAGCTTACAGTAAAATGAAAACTAAATGTTGATTAAGAAACATTTTGTACTAATTAATTAAAAGTTTTAACTTAAAGCTAGAATTTAACAATGTTACACAAATTTTCACTATTATTTATAGTTAGCCATTTAAATCTTACAGATAACCATTTTTTTGCAATCTGTCGAATGCTCACATTTGTATAAATTTTCATTTTCTCAATCATATTTGGTGTATGGCCAGGTGGCACATTCCATGAGAGTAAAATGGTCACCATAGAAACACCACTGTCTAACATAAGTTTTTAAAATGAATTTTGATTTTGAAAAGGATAAAATTTTTCATGATTTTGAATTGACTGGAGTTATAGTTATTTTAAAAGTCCTGAGACAAATGTTTTCAAAAGTATAAAATGTAGAAATGTCAAAATTTATAAAAGGTCAGAAATCAAAATCTTTGCTGTAGTTGCTGTTTATATTTTGTTTCTACTTCTAGTTAAATAGACACTCGGACAGAAAACAATGTAATTAGAGCGTACGAAGACGTTTTAGTGTAATTTCTATTTAAAGGTTTTTATTTGAATTCACTCTAGTGGAGATTAGAAAACAGAAGAAAATTAATTCAGGGTAATTTAGTACTATTTTATAGGTGGGCGTRCGATGACGTAGTTTGTTTACACCCAAARTATAAAATTCAAAAAATAAGCAATCTGAACTCATATAATTCRAGATYATATTAMTSTCAACAAAACCTGAACATTTTAGGGCAAACGCCTTTTTACATTTCGAGATATCGGCATTTCAAAASTAGAAAATCTATAGAAAACATTCAGTGGTTGGCAAAATGATGCCAACCACGGTCATTTCTTTAGAAAATCTTGCAAATTCGGCGCTTGATATCTCTTGAAATATTTAACCAATTGCCTTCAAATTTTCAGGAATTGTTAACAGRTATGAGTTCTTTTCATTTATGGGCTTGATTTTCTTTTGTCTTGAAATTCGATTTCTGAGATTTATGMAAATGAGCTAAAACGTAAACATTGGCGCCCACCTATTGCTGAAGCTTTTCATAGTTTAAGTGTTTACTCTCTACGCATGTACGTATTTTTCACGAATTATTTTCCAAACATTGTACGGTTTTAGTGTTTGTATTATCTTGCGGTTATTTATTGGACATTATGACGTGTATATTGCAGCTATTATTGCTATTATGTGGCTTTTAACTGAATAAAGTTTAATTTATTTGTATGGGAAGTATGATCCTGCAACAAGCCCTATCTAAATTTTGTCCAGAGCCTGTACAACGCAGGTTTACATTGACCATATAAAAAACGAGCAGAAGACTGGTAATGAGCACCTTAAAACGAACTATGTTTTTGAAAATCTGTTTTCACCATAAGAAAAAGTATATCTAAACTAGTAAATTGGCGAAGGTTTAGTTTCTAATGTTGAATATCAGCTGAGTTACGAGCATTTGAATTTTACTAAAAACGTGAAAACGAGGCTGATAAGGCCTCAATACTGATTTTCACTCAAACCTTTGCAATTTCAAACACCTGTAATTTTTGGTCCTAAAATGTAAGGGCATTGAAACTTTCAGATCTTATTCATTGTAATATGTTCTTTCAACGAGCAGTATATGTTAAATATCTTATAAACTTAAGCGTTACGATAGCCACGCCCTTTTTCATATGGTCTATAAATGTTTTTAAACAGTTGAAACTCTTCATATTCTCTTGTACTCTATGTATTAATACTCGTTGCAACGCCCTAAAGCCCACTTATTTTGCTTGACTAACTACACAATAGAATTGAAGACGAGGCTCTGGGGAAAAATTGATAACTTTCCCTTCAGGCTCGTCTTCAATTCAGACATTTGTATATGATCATTCAACAAAATATCGAAATTGAAGATATGCAAATAGACCTTTCATAATTATGGGACAATATATGCATCGGGGGGAAAGGGGTAGGGATCATTTCGATGTTCGGGAAGGGTCTCGCGGAAGGAAAAAGCGGATATCACTCAGCCTAAAGTTCCATTGTTCTTCGCTGATCTTGCGATTCCTGTTGCAGGCCCTGTGTATTCTGTCGAGACGATTTGTCCGACAACTCCTGTACTTTGTTCTTGTTGGCGTCAATTTTATCGAGGATGTACATGAAGACGTAATCGAAAAACTCCACCAGTGTAAGAACACTACAACCAAGAAGCAAGCCCATGTTGCCACCAAGGTCACCTTAAACAAAGAAGAAACGTAAAACACATCCATTCAATGCCCGGTAAATCATTTTATTAAACTTGAATACCAACTGACATGACAATTGCCTCAAAATACAATGCAATGTGCAGCGACGCCATTTTGTGCAGCAAAGCATGATGGTAGTTGTATGTCCGCCACAACAGTTCTCCTTAGCAGTTTTTGCTTTTTCTAAGCAAAAATAAAAGCAGTTTTACCGTTTAGAAAATGTAAAAATGTAAAATGTATTTTAGGGTCTTCAATAAGTACGAGGACTACAACTACCATCATGCTTTGCTGTACAAAATGGCGTTTACTATACTTGGCCTTAGACCCTTTGGGTTTACAACAATTCCTTGTTTTCAATCAACGATTTTAAAAATAGATAAATATACTCCAATGTAAAACAAGGGTTATTAACTGGGGAAAACATTAAAAGAGGATGTCTAACTTTCTCTNATGACAAATATTGTTCTTTTGTACGGCAATCTAATTTGTCAACGGCAAACTAATTCTATAGACGTCAAGTTTAACTTGGTGAGGGCAAATATAAATTCTTTAGAAGTCAAACACAAATTTGTTTCGGCAAAATAATTCTGTGGACGGCAAACTGGCTATAGATCCCGGCAAACTTAAAGTTCTGAAGACGGGTAGACGGCAAATTAATTCGGTAGACGGCAAACTAATTTTGGAGACGGCAAACTAATTCTGTGGACGGCAAACTAATTCTGTAGACGGCAAACTAATTCTGTAGACGGCAAACTGATTGGAGATGGCAAACTAATTTTGGAGACGGCAAACTAATTCTGTGGACGGCAAACTAATTCTGTAGACGGCAAACTGATTGGAGATGGCAAACTAATTTTGGAGACGGCAAACTAATTATGGAGACGGCAAACTAATTCTGTAGACTGCAAAATTATTTTGGAGACGGCAAACTAACTTTGGAGATGGCATATTCATTCAATTGACGGCAAATTAATTTTAGAGATACCCTGCGAGCAGAGTGTATTTCCTTACCTCAATAAAAATTCGCGAATTTTTATTGAGGTAAGGAAATACTAGCCTCCTCCGCAGGCATCACTAAGAATCACGGGCTTCCTGTCTTTTTGAGGAATCAAAAGAGGGAGAATGGGGGCGAGAAAAGGGGAGCGTGTGATTTATCTCGTCACTAGTCCCTAACGGCCAAAATGACCGTTACAAAGGAAGCCCAAAAGAGGAAAAAAGAGTTGCCTGTGGAGGAGGCTAAGGAAATACACTCTGCTCGCAGGGTATTTTAGAGACGTCAATCTAAGTCGGCAAACTTAACTTTGCGTACGGCAAACTTAACTTTGTGGCGCGGCCAACCTCTTTGTTCTTTTTGGCGTCAATTTTATCAAGGATGTACATGAAGACGTAATCGAAAAACTCCACCAGTGTAAGAACACTACAACCAAGAAGCAAGCCCATGTTGCCACCGAGGTCACCTTTACCAAAGAAGAAACGTAAAACACATCCATTCAATGCCCGGTAAAACATTTTATTAAATTTAAATACCAACTGACATGACAATTGCCTCAAAATACAATGCAATGTGCAGCGACGCCATTTTGTGCAGCAAAGCAGGATTGTAGTTGTAGTCCTCGTAGTTTTTTTTGTCGCTACAACAGTCCTCCTTAGGAGTTTTTGCTTTTTGTAAGCAAAAATAGAAGCAGTTTTACCGTTTCTACTAATAAAATGTAAAAAGGACTCTTAAGATATTTTAGGGTCTTCAATAAGTACGAGGACTACAACTACCATCATGCTTTGCTGTACAAAATGGCGTCGCGGCACATTGCATATTGGGACGATCATGTAAATACTATACTAGGTCTTAGACCTCTTGGGTTTACAGCAATTCCTTGTTTTCCATCAACGATTTTGAAAATAGATAAATATACTCCATTATTATATATCAAGTGTCAAAGTTCACTTTTCCTAGTATCTTATTGGTCGAGAGTGTACCACGTGAAAGTCACAAAACTTAACTGTTTCCCGGCAACTGTCCACCAGCGGTCAATAATATGTTGTGGACCGTCAATAAGTACAAAGTCGCAGAAAAACAATCTTGAGTGTCGTGAAAATGTCACATTTACGGACGTTGCAATTCCAAAATTGTTATGAAACATTTAATTTCGACTACAAATAGTTAAATTAGTATTCATTGTGTTATTACATTGATTGATTTTAGTGACATTTGACTATTTGTATTGCCATTTTTCAGTYATTTTATCAAAATCTTTAATAAAAACACTTCATTTATTTACGTTTTTTGCTCTCTTTGACACTTGATATGATAATAAAGCACTTATTTACTGGAAACCTCGGGAAACAGTATGTATTGCGGTCCCTCGACCGCTGATGTTTCCCTCAGCTTCGCTTCGGGAAACATCAGCGGTCTCGGGACCACAAAACATACTGTTTCCCTCGGTTCCAGTAAATAAGTGTTAAATGTAAAACAAGGGTTATTAAGTGGGGAAAACATTGAAAGAGGATGTCTAACTTTCTCTGCTGTCTACATATGATTATCATCATCATCTATCCATAGCATTATGTCACTTACTGATTGTTCAAAAATTAAATGTCACGMACTTTTGACTTACCAAAGAGATTGCTAATTTCGTAGGCTGGTTGGAGCTCWGTGACCTCGTAAACTGYCGCTGCAAACCCAACTTGGATCAAGACGAAGTTGTTTCTGTGAGAAGTAACCATATTTGTAAGTTATTAAGAGATGAACTTTATACACGACCCAATAGTCTCACGGTTCCCTGTGTCATCTTGAAAGGWAGSCGTTSCTTTGCATTGAAACGAGACAACCGTTGAGCGTGCAGTGATAGAAACCTTTTACATCTTTCAAGATGGCGCAGGGAACCTTGAAGGAGACTATTGCGAAAGCATTAAAAAATTGTATTACTATAGAGTTTTAGGCTGTCCAGCAGCTCTGGTAAGGGAAGCCTGGACCATTTTTTTCTCCTTTCTCCGGACTACGAACTGGATTTTATAGAACATATCTTACTTTATGAAGTCGTTTGAAGTGTTATCCTTGACATAATCTCTTATAATATCCATCACCATTGTGCTTGGGAACTGAGCGAATGACATTCTTGGCTGGTAGWAGGTTTCCTCACATGGAGAATTACAGTGGCATTCTGGGAAGCGCATGTTATCTGCAATTGAAAACTTAGTATTATTAAATGTAATAAGCAATGTGCAGCGACGCCATTTTGGCAGCAAAGCATGATGGCAGTTGTAGTCCTCGTAGTTTTTTTATGTCCGCTAAAACARTCCTTATGAAATGTTTTTGCTTTTTCTAAGTCAAAATAGAAGTAGTTTTGGCGTTTCTATAAAAAAAAAGCTTCAAAAGGCTTTTTTAAAAGGAGATATTTTAGTGTAATACTAATTAACAATTTGACCTCGAGGTCGAGTGGACTACGAGCTGATAGCCCATGAGGCCGAGTCCGCRAGGCYGARTGGRCTATTAGCTCGTAGTCCACGAGGCCGAGAGGTCTAATTGTTTTAGTATATACATACTAATCGGTCAGATAATGAAAACAAATTGAAATATCCTTAAAATGATTTATTTAATGAGATGCCGCCATTTTGATTTTCCCGCAAGTGGTCTATCACAAATTAGACCATTAGTAGAGTAGCCAATCACAGCGCAATATGAGTGATAGACCATTGGTATGTTTATACTAACTACCATTATGCTGTGCTGTGCTGCACATTGACTATTCTTTAACTCGAAAAACTTCGAATCATAATGATATCATTATTTTCGGAATGATAAACTGTACCGCCACGTAGATATCTTTTTTTTTTTGAAAAAGAAAGAAATCTTTGCAACTTAAACCTTCCAATGCGATATCTGCATTTGTATGTATATCAAAATATTTTGATTTAAGAAATATGCAAAGGCCGCGAATGTCTCTCTTCTTTAATAAAAATACTGCGGGATAGGGAAAGCACAAAGAAGCAGGCGTAGGAGCACAGCGAGTGTTTCCCTTCTTATCCGAGAGATCTCCATTTCTAGCCATGTTTATATTAGAAGACAGAAAMAAAACRGCCATTATATATTTCTTTTATTGAACGTTTGTCTTTTTTAAGCACACATGCGTCAAATCATGATCAGGTAWTGAGAGCGCGTTTCATCGCAAAYATTTTATAAACTAAAATGAAAAGTAGAAATTAAGAGAGAATTGAAGGTAAAACTACGTGTTGAGCGAGAAATGATGAAAATGATGAAATAATGGTAAAAGTTCGTTGTGAGAAGCGCGCTTATGCAACGTAAATCACTTTTTTTTCATTTTTAAGAACAGCTGCTTGCGTTTCCCAGGGAACGATCATAAGTAGAATTAAAATGAAAGAACGGACGTCCACGGATAACATAAATATTAAATATTTACCAAGAGTAACCAATAATATGTCTAAATTACTCGAACAAGTAGCCAACCAAAGAAAAATAATATTTTTTAAAACCAAAATTGAAACTAATTTCCCAGGTTATTAAGCTAATGTAAATAGATATTGAGAGCAATACCTATGACTTCTGCAGCGCATTTTTCGTCTCCAATGCTGCACACGGGAACTTCAGGACGTCCTATAAAAGAATTGACAGAAAATATCACCCAGTAATTCCTTTACGACTTGAAGCTCGTCTAGGATGTACAATTTGGCTTGAGAATTACTTAAAATTTAGATTAAATTCGGAGATTTTGGGACAAATTTGGCGATGTCTAATGCTAATGGGAATTTCGATAGAGTTTTTTTTTGCTGATAAACGTTTTCGTAAATTTCTCAAGAACCTTGGGTATACAGTAGAAAGTGAGAAACAGCTTTCCGCTACAGTGATAAGATTCCCATCTCCGCACTCTTTCCGTCTCTACCCTGAACATCATGGACTAACATGCCCTTGTAACAACTTTGTTTCAATTGGCTGTAGCATATTACCTCGTTCTCCTATTGGRCGACATCCACATGTTTCAACGGTTTTGTTGCTCAAGCACTGTTCAAAACAGATGTCTTTAGAATATCTCTGATATCCAGGAAGRTATCTCTCTGAACAGTTAGAAACGAAAGGYTCCCGTAGCCTTGTTATCTGGAATAGAAATCTAGCTGTTATAAAAGTTATATAAAGTAAATAAAACGAGAAAAAAGACCCAAGCCAAACTATTGTCGAACTAGTTAAACATGTTATTATCAAACAAATTGTTAGTATATTTGATTTGCTATTTAACAGTTGCATCCAACTCCATTCAAGTTGTTCGTAACCTGAGTATCAGGCATTCGAGGGAGCCTGGGGAGGAGGGACTCATGCCTTCGAGGAGGCGTGGGGAGGAGGGACTCAGGCTTTCAGGGGGGCCTGGGGAGAAGGGACTCAGGCTTCGAGGGGGCCTGGGGAGGAGGGACTCAGGCTTCGAGGGGGCCTGGACAGGAGGGACTGGTTTCCCCTCGAGAGACTGATACTCAGGTTAAGTTGTCCGACGAACAAACATTTTGGCTCTCCTTCGTAAATGAAATGGAAATATTGTTTCAATATAATGGAAATCAAATTTACATGATACATGATATTTCCATGAAATATACAAGGTATGTAAATTTTCGGTAAATCGTCTTCAATGATATTTATACAGTATTTACAGAACATTTCCATTTACAGACAATGTAATTTCAAAGATATTTGTTCAACAATACGTAAGGAAGAGAGTGGCACTGAATACTGCCTGTGAAAAAAAAAGAAAAATTAATGCTTACTTTATTGGCGCTTAGAATAACAAGGGCATGAGAACCAGGGGAAATCAGGASSCCTTCGTTTCTGTTGACACCCTTTCCTCTCTCTCCGACAATCAACCGAAGACCAAACGACCATTCTCCGTATGTATATTCTCCCAATTGGGTATTGAGTAAAATACTGAGGCCATTATCTCCTCCCGSTTGGCGGACAGTCGTTGACTTCCTTCTTGTACGGTTACTGTACTTAGTAAGGTTGAAGGTAAAGCATAATCCTTTTTGTGTCATGATGGAATCAAAATCATCCTTATTGCATTCTAAATCACGATCTGGATCCTGACCAAAAGTACAATAATTCATAAGCATCGTACCAAAGTCAGGTCCGTAACGGAAGAGGAAATCTTCGAGGTCGAAGACACGGGATGAAGTGTTCAGTACTTGACGTARTATCGGCTGCATGCTCACGTGACACTGAGGTACAAGAAATGGTGCGTATTTGCTATATGCACATAATAGCGCCTGTCCACACGTAAGGTTACCGCTGACATTTCGCACGACTTCGCAGGCTGGCATATTAAGATTGAGCTGCTCAAATCGCGGATCGTCGTATGCGATGTTGATTTTGGACCTGACGAGGGAGTTCAGATTGCATATTGTAAAGTCAGGAAACTCAACTCCTTCAGGGGGAACCTCGTTAGATACCACAGTACTTATTGGACGCCTTGTGAATTTTGTCACGCTGTCATAAAAAATGTACATATACGTCGAAATACATACAAGCAAGCAAAGGGCCCAGAACAAACGACGAAAACCCGAAGTTCCTACGACGAAACGAAGGCCATGAAGGGTTGTATTGGATCCAAAGGTTGTCCAGTTCTCTCTCATGGCTCAGTGTTTGTTGAACACCTGTTATGAAATAAATGTTATAGTTAGCAAACGGTTAGGACCTTTTGGTTGTAATGAAAGGCTCCATTGAATATTCTTCGTTTCCCATAACAACCTAGACGAATCACATTCATCTTTTGATTTCCTGAAGATTCTCAATACCTTCAAACGACTTTCCCCTTTGTTGTCTTTGGTGAAATCTCTAGCCAACTCATAACAAAAATGATGCTTTCTCAATAATTACCTTGTCCAGGTGACACCTTACATTTGGCGCAATTGTATTGATGATTTGTAAAAAGTGTTTTATCAAAATAGACTGCAGCTTCCTCAGATCAAAGTACTTGTTCTTCGTACTTTATCGCCAGATTCTCTGGTTGTATTCATCAAATACCCACCTGCGAATATTTGATGTTTTCAATTCAAATTCTTTTGATGAGTTCCCAAGAGAAGATGTATGAATCTCTCCAGTAGCTTGCTGTTTTATAAATTGACAAAAACAAGTGGGACATCGGTTCAATTCTTAATGAGGTCCGTCTGAGGACTTTGAATATGAAATTCTACTTCTGAATTACCATAACAATATTAAAGATGGTCATTGCTTATCACACAAAAGCAAATCCAAAACTCAATCACTTTAGTTTACTATCTGAAAGAAAATATATATGGGTTATTAAATGGTTCTGAAAAATAACGAAAATTAACTTTATCAAAAAATTGTGGACGGTAATCTTATCTTTTCTCGTTAGGGTTCATTTGATYCTAACTCAAGTGCCCTCAAGTAATTGAATTTTCACCAATCTAAGGCCAAGGTTCGTCATTACTCCGACCGGCGTTTGATTGCTTTTGGTTGAATATTTTTTAGTAGCAATTTGAGATGAAGAGAAAAAGAAGAGAACAATGAAGAGAATTCTGTATATAAGAGGATTTAAAACCCAGATATATATATAAATAATAAACAGCCAATGTTTTTCTTTTGTTTTTGGTTATACTGTTCGAATTTATAATTATTATGAACTATATTACGATGTTGACATTAGCAAATTTGTCATACGTCCTCCGTGTCATACGGAGCATTATAGAAATCTTTTGTCGGAGAATTTGACTTTTTCCGAGAGTCTAACCATAACTAAAAATTTGTCAGCCACTTCTTGTTGTATACTTGGTGTAAGCAAGATGTCTTTCCGAACCTATAATACTTAATAATCTTCCGGCGCAAGAGGCAGGAGGGGGTGGGGGGAGGAGGGGTACTCTATTGGGTGCAAGGCAACGGCAGAGCTTCTCGGTAGGCCGGCTTGCACTACGACTCTGGTGTTTGGGACAACTCTTTTGTGGCAATGGAAACAATGATGGTGCTCGTTGAGCTTCTCCTGTCTTGTACACGTTGTCCAGAACTCKCTGTCGTAAAGGATAGCGGACAGCATAAATGCTTGTAAGACATGTTCCATATCTTTACCACTTTTTGAACTTGACTTTGTGACACCGTCGATCCTGAAATATTTCCCCTTGGATTGGTTCAGCGTGCAGGGTGCCAAAGAGATGGTTCAAAGTTTATAAACTATTATTTGTCCTCCGTCTTTATTTGTAGTTTGGTCTTGGAACAGTGGGCTTGATGAAACCGTGGACATWACGCGTGARAGCTAGATATCCACGACCYCCTGYTGGATCAACTCGTGGTAACGTTTGTAAGGAATGCTTCACATCTTCATCCAAAGCCAGGTCATTAGACCAAGTTCATTAAAGGTGCGAGTCTGTAGACCAGGTTTTCTGGATCTCTGTGATTCACTTCATCTCCAGCTCTTCGAATGTGTCTCCGACCTCTCAGCGTTTTACGCTTGCTTTCTAAAAGGGAATATGGCTGATCACAGGTGGCATCTCAGTGTCTCTCCTTTCATTTGGAATGTGCATCACCTGTACTATTAAGATTGGAAAGAGATCCAAGTTCTGATGGCTTTAAGTCGAACAACATTTACCGGGTCAGAAGTACCACACGTGCTGATGTGGTCACGACCTTTAATCTTTACGTCATGGGTATTCTTGGCTTTATTAATCTCGAGTTGCTGGGAAAAGGGGCTGGGTGTGTGTTCAGTATCAGTTAAAGTAACTGTGGACATTGCAGTGGTCGTGGTTACAACAGTTCTCCAATAGTCCCTTCTGTATAACATAACGCTAGTATAGGCTTTCGTGTGTTTCGTGAAATTCAAATTCAATTCAAATGGCTTTTGCTCTAAGASGATTCAAATTTTATTCTGTGGCATTGTTACGAGAAAAGTGATCATTTTATTTAACTATTCATAAAGGAAATTAAACTTATTTTACTGAGAAGTTTAGAAATTAAAAGTAATGCTCAGCTATTYAGAAGCTATAGACTCGAAGAGTATATTGAGTTTGCTGCAAAATAGTACAAACATATGAAAATTCCAATAAAACTATGAGCACCTGTTTTTGGAATTGTAGAGATATAAACATTTCCATGAAAATTGTACGAAGACCTATAAACTTCACCTGAAGCCATATCAAAAAGACTTCCTTTAATATTGCTCTGTTTTTCAATATATTAAATGATTTTTATATTACTTTTACGAAAAATTGGAATCTTTTTAACGCCTCTGATGTTCCAGACATATTTTAGGCGCTCATGGTTTTAAAAGCAATAGTAATTATGTGCAGGTATATATAAAACGTTGTTATAAATAAATGAAAGGGAAGGCTTTCCTTGTTTTCGTAGCTCATTGTTTTTTGTTTTTGCTAAAATACAAATGGGCATTCTTTTTGCAAGACTTGAACCGTCAGATTCCAAAAAGTTTATACAAATAGACTCATTTTTTATGCTGTTGAACTATTTTKTTCTTAAATTAAATCGTTCATTATGTAAAGATATGTACTTTTATCTTGACCTACTAAAAATCATCAYCATCATTATTATCMTTTCATCATCATCATTATTATTGTTGTTGTTATTGTTATTAAATTATTATTACTATTATTATAATTATAATTATTGTTATTATAGGATTGCCATTTTTAAATTTTGTACAATCTATAGTATATTCTCATCCTTTTTTCGAAGAATTTATATCATATATTTCCTAATTATCATAATATAAAGTCTAAATAATTATTGTGGCAATTATGGTGCGTCTATTTATGGCGGTGTTTCGAAATCTGCGAAAATCTGCTGCCAATGGAAGAGTACCGAAATCTTGCATCATGTGGCCCTCAATAAGCATTAGTTGTCAATTTTGTCAAGAACCATAATTACGTTTTTAGCAGAGGTTTCCTGGGAATGGGATTGCACAGTTACTGTCCGAATGTAGATTCACAATTCCTTAGGGTCTCGCCACAACAGGGTTTCCATTGAAGATACTTATGAATATACATACATACGATATTTTTTGATGGGGTGAATTCGAAGTTGGTTGAGACGGATGGCTCGCCTGATAGTTTGTCTTTTGGAAGGAACGGCCAGACGGAGAACAGCCTAAAATTTAATTACTTTCTCCTATATTCAATATTGTGATTTCTGTTGAAAGCCTTGCGCATTCCCTTTAGAGTATTATCTCGGCAATTCCTGTACTTTGTTCTTGTTGGCATCACGTTTCTCAAGGATGTACATGAAGATGAAGTCAAAAAACTCCACCAGTGTAAGAACACTACAACCAAGAAGCAAGCCCATGTTGCCACCGAGGTCACCTTTATCCAAAGAAAAACGTGAAATACATTTAATGTCCGGTAAAACATTTGATTAAACTTGATGATAGTCGAAAATRCACTTTTCAACTTACCAAAAAGATTGCTTATTTGGTAGGCTGGCTGCAGCTCAATGACATTATACACTACTTCAGAAAAACCAACTTGTATCAAGACGAGATTCTCCCTATAAGATTTGACAATTCCAAGTAAGTAGTAGGGTGGCTACCGCCTTCCCTTCCTTTTCCCTTCCCTCCCCTCCCCTATAGACGAAAGTCTTACCTTATATAGTCAACAGAAGTGTTGCCCTTTACATAACTCTTTATRATATCCATAATTATTGAGTTGGGGAACTGAGCAAATGACATTGTTGGCTGGTAGTAGGTTTCTTCGCATGGAGAATTACAGTGACATTGTCGGAACCTCATATCATCTGTAATTGAAAAATATCTTATTATATTTTTATTTTTATAATTACATTTGTTTTATAGTTTCTGTCAGACTATAGTACGCATTTGCCAATTAAAAGAACATAAAAAACACGTATACTCGATAATGTTTCAATGAATTCTTTATTGTATGGCAATACCTATGACTTTTGCAACGCATATTTCGTCTCCAATCGTACACACGGGTACTTCAGGACGTCCTACAATGGAATTGATAGAAAATATAACTCAAT